CTACGGCGACCGTAAACAGCTCTGCCCCGAGTCCGAGTTTTACCTGTCGAGCGCATTCCCGCAGCGTTCGTCGAAACCTCGTCGTCGTCGAACGAAACATTGCGGCTATCTTTGACGGAGAGCCGAGAGAGGGAAATGAGATATCCGACGCGGAATCGCGCGCGTTCCAGCGTCACGGACGCGAGTCGATCTTCCTCGCGGAATTTGCTCGCGACGCCGCGGTTGGCTTTGCGTCGGAATTCCTCTGCCTTCGGAACGCGTACGTCGTCGCGCGGTTTCCTCCTTTGAACGCGAAACGAGACGGGAAGGGGCGAGTGGTTGAGGCGACGGGGCGTGTTGCGTGGGACCGTCTAACACGGTTTCGGAACGCGACAACCGTCCAGCGGAGCTAACGCTACGCTACAGACACAAAGATTCGGTTGGCGAGTAGTAAGTAGAGTGCGAGACGACGCGGTAGGTGCGTAAGCGCCAGAATGGACGCAGTGACGCGCGTGACACGCGTGACGCGCGGTGGCTGGCATACCCGGGTGAACGCAGAGGTTCGTGCTTGTCCTTTCGATGTGCTCGTCGAGCTCACGATCAACAGACCGTGACGAAGGAGAGGGTGGTCGTCTTCGGCGAGGCGTAGGCGTGAATCGATTGCGAGTATCTCGATTGTCAAATGCGCAGAGGATCGGTGTGTGGGTTGGACGGCTTGTGTCGTGCGGCGCAGAAGCTCAGGCCAAAGCACAGCATTAACAGCGCCACCGAGCCTACCAGCAGGTGGCTCGACCATGACACGGAACACTTTCCTGAAACAGATGCGATACGTCTGTCAAACGAACCAGGAGTACCTCGTTGGTTTCGCGATCACTGCAGAAAATCGAGAATCACTCGCGATGATAACCACCACGGTCTCTGTCGGTGCAGTTTCGTCGTCGAATTACCGTCGCCGTGAGTCTCCGGGCGGACGACGGGTTACGCGAGATCCCGGAATGGTCTCGGGTCAGCGGCGATTTAGCCGCGTAAACGCGGAAATAGCGTCGTTACGTTGGCGAGAGCGTAATCCAGGCGTTCGGACGCCGCGTAGCTCTTTCCGTGGCTCGTCGAGGGTAGAATCTCGCTTAACGACACGGTTGAACCGCTGCGCGAAGAAGCGGCCGAGACTCTCTCGCTCCGCGATACTCACCGAGATTGTACACGTTAGCACCCTTCCCGCAGGACTCCCGCACCTCCCGGTTGTCCCATCCTATGGGGTACATCACCAGGCCGCCGCATATCATCACCGCTGTAACGAGAAAACGGCGAGTTAAATCCCGCGGGTTCGTTCTTCGTCGATTACCGGCGAAGAATGCCAGTCATTCCCGGCATCCCCGGCCCGGCGGTAATTCGAGCCCCGTTGTTTCGCTTTACGCGATTCGACTGGATGGATCGACGTCGAACGAATCTCGGGTTAGCCGCGAGATATCCTTTTAAGCCCTATCCTTTCTCGTCGCCCGTTTCTCTCGCGTCTCGCGTTTCCCACGCGCTCGCCACCCGTTCGCGCCGGTTGCCAGCGTAACGAGAAACCCGCTTCGCGTGCTCCGAGAGGAACCGGCGAGGAGATTGGAAATTCGAGCGGAAAAGCGAACGACGAAATTTACGACTGAGTGGCGCGCGCGCGCGCGATGGAGGGAGGCGAGGTTCGAATCGGTGATGGCAGATTAAATCGGACGATATCGCGGTCCGCGTGCTAATAAATAAATTACCCTCCGCGTACGCGCTTTTCCGCGAGTTTGTCGATAATAACGCGAGGTCGGTGACACGCGATGCTGCTGCTGCTGCCGCAAGGCTTCTGAAAGGCAACGAGCGTTGAGGGGTGTAACGCGCGCGGTGCGTCGCGGGTGCGCGACGGACGAGAAAATGAAACGCGTCAAGGTTTCAAAGAAGAACGATATTCCGGTAATGTCCGTTTTCTTTGTGGACAGTCCGTTGTTTAGCCACGTCCCCGTGAAACGTCGCTCCTTTCTCGTACCTCGCGAGCAGTCGACGTTTCTATTAACGTGTCGCCTCGTTCCTCGTCCGCCACGCGTTCGCGCAATCGGTCCACCCTGAATCTTCTTCCTCGCCGGAAGCTTTGCCACTTCGATCGGAGACTCGTCGCCGAGAATTGGCGAAAGTTGCGGCGAAATCTAGCGGAAATCCGCGCGTACGCCTTACGCCTCGCGGAGCGACGATGGAGAGAGGCTGGCGCGAAACCTATCGCCGTGTTCCATTACGCGAGCTATTCCGGAACTCGGTGTCGAAGTTATTACGAAACTTGGTAGGAATCGCGTTACCGGGCACGAGCTCGTTGCCGAGGGTCCGACGCGAGATGCGCGCCGTGGAGGCTTATGGTCGCGGCGCGCTGCCTCGTAGCCTCTTACGAGCCACGTTAATTACGGGTCACGTTCGGCAGCCAATCCCCCGAGCTATGCCCGCGTTCGCCGTTTGCCAATCCTCTTGGCTGGATTTTTCGGGGCCAGCCAGAGCCCGCATCGCGATCGCGGTTATTGCTTTCGGCTCTCTTCGCCAGACGGCCGAGAGAAGGAAACGGAGAGATACGGGCGAGAGCGAGGGAGCGAGACGAGGTCGGAAAGTAGGTTCTCGCGCGGCGGCAAATGAGCCAAAGAGAAGAGACGAATTCACCACGGTCTCGGCCGTATGTTATTAAACCTTCGCCTTACGTTTATTGCCGATCGATCCGGGATCGCTGGAGATTCGACTCGGCACCGAGCTCTTGCCTCCGTCGCGAGAACGCGTCGACTCGCTTACGCGCCGCGTCATCGCGATGCCTCCGCGGATATTCCACGCGGGGCAAAGAGATATTTCCTCGGTTTGCCTCGAAAGCTTCCTCCGCGTACCTCACGACCGCCCGATACTCCTGGCAATAAAGTCCGCGCGAAAGAATGCCGTTCATTGTTCGTTCCGGTAGCTCTGGAGATTAAAAACCGGCATCCGGTCTACTGCCGGCAACGGCCGCGAGTTTTACGATAATGAAAGCGGAACCGGCCGCGCGCTCGAAGCGTCTGGAAACGCGTTATACGCGCTCGGAAGCGTTGGTCGAAGGGGTGCGCGTTACCCCGACCTCTTCTCGCCAGTTTTACCCCGGTTTCGGCCGACTCCTCGACACGGGGCTTCCTCCTTTTCGTCGCTTTCTCCGGCCCTTTCTCCGTCGCTCTCGATTTCCCGCGAATACTTGCCGGCTTCCATTCATCCGCGGAAGCGGCAAACGGCCGGGGCTAGCGCGCGCTTTATTCGCCGCTCAAGAGCGCGCGGAACGTAATCGCTGGATGCAACGACCGGTCGCGTCGGCGGCGCGTGGAGCGGCGCGCGTTCCGCTCGATACTCGACGACGATCGGCCGGAACGTGCAACTCCGACGCGAGTGTACGCTCTAGTACTCACCAGCGAGCAGCTGCAGAGAACCCAGGACTCTGGTGTGCTTGGGCGTTTTCAGTATGTGCGGCAGGAAGCTGGAGGCAGCGGCGAGCAGCGTGAGCGCGCCGATCACCGCGATCGCGACGCCGATTCCCATGGTGACGGTGCTCGCCTGCCACCAGGCGCTCGGAATGTCCCAGAAGCTAAAATCAAATATTGTCTCTATCGTGCCGCTTCACCGCGTTCTCGTTAAACCGTATTGTTGACAAAATTCCGAGGAAATTCGATTTCCAGTTGTAAATTAACCGGCGGACGCGTAACCCGTGTCTCAACGCGAATTTCCAACCAAACCGAATTTTTCCGCCAAAAGCCTATTCTCTCCCCCCCCTCTCTCTCTCTCTTTCTCTCTCTCTGTGTCCTCGTTACGCGCTTCCACGATCCATGTCCCGGACGATGTCACGAAGATCCGCATCGGCGGTCAGCAAAGTCGGGAAGAAAAGGCGTCGGGCCGCGGCGTATCGGATGCCCTCGTTGGCCGATTTGCCGAGCAAACGAGCAAAGCTTCTCTGCCAGTGACCAAGATCGCGTTGCGTTGCGCGTGCTTCCGGTACAGCGTGCACGTAGGCGCAACTGGAAGCCGCGCAGCGTGTGGGATAAATGGAGCAACGCGCGGCGCGTGACTTTCCCGATGAAACGTAAACACCGCGAGGGAAAAACAGAGCGAGGGACACGGCGGAACCGTTTACCCTCGCAGCGCGTAGCTTTTAATCAAGCCTCGCCGCGAAATTTCCAACCCCGCGTATGGCCTTTCGATCGCGATGTAAAATTCCATTCGACCGCGACTCCTCTTCCCGTCCCACGCTTGCCCTGTCGAGCGGAAACGAGTCGGCTCTGGTGTCGCACGCCGCGCGAATTCGTAATTCGTAATTCCGGTCGTATCGGGGGATCACGGGTGAACGCGAAGAGCGAGCGAAGCGTGTCGAAGCCGACGCGTGGCACTCGCCGCGCGCTTATCGGCGAGAAACGAGCGGTCGCGACGCCCGAGGTCAGACCCCGACGCTCGACCCTCGTCGACGAAAGCGTCGGCAGCGGCGGCGAGATATTTTCAAGGGCGAGCATCAGTGCCGGCCGATTCGCGCAGCGAAATAACCCGGGGGCGAAACGAGCCGTGAAAAAAGCGAAAGGTTAATTCGCTATCGGGGAAAATCCGTATCGGCGCGTGGATCGCGTCGGGTCGCCGAATTTCGCCGAATTTCGCCGAATTTCGCCGACGCAGCCGAAACAACGAATCCGGCGTAACCGTGTTTGTCGCGAAATTACGTTTTAATCTCGAAATCGCGTTTTTCGCACCGCGATTCGATCCGGCCCGATGCCGAAGGATTTCGCGAAGACGACGTTGCTGGAGAACGATCAAAGTTTCCGCGAATTCATTCCGGCCGCCTGGCAACGAATTATTATACGAGCCCGGGCTGGTGGCGTCTTCGCCGAGCGGAATTAACCGATCTTTGGCCCCCCGTCTGCGAGCCGGGATATCGGAGATACCTAGGGAACTCGCGGGGAAATCGAAATCTTCCGGCAGACTGGTTTCGAATAATCGACGGCACGCGCCGCGTCGCGAGGAAGACGTCGTCGCGAGGCGTTCGGGGGCAAAGGCCTTCCGGCCGGCGTCGGAAAATTCATATCGGCGTGTTCTCGGCCGCCTCTTAATAAACACGGCTCCGCAAAGTTCTCGTTGGCAAGATACGGCCACTCGAAGTTTCGCCGGGTCTCGTCGCGAGCGAGAACACGCGAAATTCCGCTTGTTTCTTACGAAGCGCGCAATTTATATCGCGTAATTCGGAACCGGCGGAAAAGGCTTATTAATCGCGGCCGACTTTTCCAACTAGCCTCGCGATCTCGTTTCCACGTTCGTCCGAAACGCGTTTCGAGGAGAGGAGAGGAGAAGAGAATAGAAGAGAAGAGAAAATGTGCCTCGCGATCTCGTTTCCACGTTCGTCCGAAACGCGTTTCGAGGAGAGGAGAGGAGAAGAGAAGAGAATAGAAGAGAAGAGAAAATATTGCAGAGATCCCGTGGAATAAGAATGAAAGCGTACGTACCTGGAGTATCTGGCGCACTCGTAAACTATTTCGGGAGCCGCGTTCGGCGCCCTTATCCGCGGATAGTTGCAGCGTCGAAAGGAACCAAAGTACGCGTCTGCCTTGCCCAGCAGTCGTCCCTGAAATGCGGAACACACGCGTACAGACAGGCGGCGAGTTGGAGCGTCGTCTGTCCCATTCGTAACGCTCGGTCGCAAACTCGAGCCGAGGAGAAGAGACGCTTTTACGATCTCTGCGAATCTCCGCGAATTTCCGCGAATTTCCGCGAATTTCCACGAATTTCCACGAATTTGCGCGACGAGCAGAGAGAGAGAGAGAGCAGAGAGAGAGAGCAAAGGCGGTCGGAACGCCAAGGTTAAGCATCCTCGCGGAATATACGGCTAATTTCTGGGAAACGAGTACGCCGATTTGGCCGCGGCGACGACGCGCAGCCAAAAACCCGGTTAAGAGAACGCTCGGTCGCGATTGGGGTGAAAGTCGTGGCACACGGGGTTGAATTTCAACGGAATCGCGTAGCTCGAATCGGTTGCCTTTGCGCCTGCTTTTTCGAGTGGGTTTTAGTCGGGTTAATGGTGCTCGGGATTGAAGGAGGACGGGGTGGCTGGATGGGGACGAAGGAGAGAAGAGCAGTGCAGATGCAGAGGAGAAGGAAGGAGGAGATCGTTACTCTTTATACGGCGGATTCGCGATGGTTTTGTATCAGAACTCGATTCACGAGCAAAACCGTTGACCCCGTGCCAAGTAGTTTCTTCTTCGGCGAGAGATTAAGTTTTGCAGCCGTGTCCTGCGCGTCGTTTCTCGGACGCCTTTCTTGCCCGCGAGAGATCGTAAAACCGCGCTTCGCTTCGCAGTGGAATAAGCGGCTAAAAGTCGGACAGGATTTCCTGGGATATTATTCTTGCCCGGGACAGCGGGAAATTCGATTGTTCGCTGGAAAGCGGCTGTTCGAACCGAGTTCTTCCCGGTAACCTCTCGTGCCCACCACGCCCGCTCTCTCCTTTTGTCCAATGCCGGCGACGATACGGAAAAGTTTCAGGGATGCTCGTAATTCGCGCGAACGACGCGCGCGAGTGGTCGCAGCGTCGGCGAGCCTAGGCAGAGATTGTTTTCGCGCAGAGACGAGAGAGAGATCTCTTTTAAACGCGTGCCTCGCCTCGCCTCGCCTTGCCTCCACTCTGCTCGCGAGATTTCTCCTTAAATGAACGAATCCAGCAGCTCCGACTGCTTCTTGGGCCGCACGCGCGCGCGTCGTACACGGGCGAAGAAGCGAGCGCAGGAAGGCAAATGTAAATTCACTTATGCATTTATTCATCCCGCTACTCGAGTATTTTCAAAGCCATTTAGAGCCCCCTTCTGCGTTTCGCTGCTCGAGAAGGATATATACGTTTCGAAAGGACACTCGTGCACGGATGCTGACGTCGAAATTATTCATCGGCTGTTTTTCCGTCCGTTTTCCGCCTGCTGCTTAACGACACGAGTCTCGCGAGGAAAATTCAACGAAACGGCTCGCGCGCGTTCCCGTCTCTTCCCGATTCCTCGTCGATTTCTCGAGCAAGCGCGACGCGGGACCGGGGGAACCATTAAGTCGTTCCCCATTAGGTCGGTTTATGAAAAAGGAAAAGAACGGGGCGCGCGCGGTTTACGCGGAGAGTTTGCGGAAGATGCCGGAAAATGCTTTTTTATTACTCCACTTATTGCACGGTTCGCGAAGCAATCTTGCCGGTAATTTTGTCCGGAAGCATCGGGTGATGTTTCCCTCGCTCGCGAGAGAATCGCGCGAAGCTATCCGACGGACGGAATAATTGACAGCGGGAGAGAGATAGACGCGGGGCGAGAAATCCGTGGTGGTCGGGAGAGTAACGTCGACGCGGACGAGTTTTGCCGGAAAAGTTGCGCCGGTGTGGGCCGTAGGGAACCCGGAAGAATTTCCCTGGCTCCTTTCAGAAGCCGGGGCACACTCGAGCCCAATTTGCGAAACAAGCGTCGTTCCGCGTCCTAGCCGGGTTAAGTGGAGACGCTCTCTTCCTCCCAATGGGACGGGATCGCGAGATCCCGGTGACGTCGCGCCTCTCTCCGGCACCGGCAGTTCGTTTACGATCCAATTCGGCTGGCAGAGAGGAAAGCAGGCCGCGTGGAAGCCAGGTAAACCCGACAGCGACCGATCGCCCACGCGATCCTCTCCTCCGCTTCGTCCCAAAACTTTCGCGCGATTCCTCCGCTTCCGTTTCTTTTCACTAGGTACGGATCGATCGGTTTCGCGTCGTAGTCCATTGAGAACTGAAGCGTCTAACCGGCGTCTCGCGCGAAACCGGTAATTGGCCAATTTCGGAACGCTGGCACGCGAATTCTCCGCGGTATTTGGTTCCCGATTCCGCGGTTGCCAAGAGAATCCGGATCGAAAATATCGCGCGCTCCAGGGAATCGGTCACGGTCGGTGGAGATTAGTCTGCTTTCTCGCGACGAAGGCGATCGGTTTCCTGCGGGAATCGCGATCGAAGGGGCGGGTCCGACGTCACCCGGAATGCGAGAAAATGGAAGGCGGCGCGATCGGCGGAGAAATACGCGAAATACTGAAATCGGTGGACGCGTAATCGGATGACGCTTAATTATGCAGGGAAAATCAGCGGTTAACGAAGAGAATTAGCGAACAGTTTGCCGCGGGGGGGATGAGTCGGGGTTAACGAGGTTCGACGGGAAGTCTTGAATTTCGCGTTTCCAAGTTTCGTCCTTTCGTCCTTTCGTTCGCCGCGTTCGGCTCGGCAAAGTTGCTCGCTATTTAACGGCGAAGTAATATCGAGAAAGTTGCTCCCGTTACACGCGTAATCTCCGCCCCGCCCTCCCGGCGTTTATCGTATTTATTCCGTACAGCAAATAGACGTAATAATTTAATCGTCGACGATACGTCAACGGTACACGCGTTACAGGTATGCGTAATTTCCGCGAATCGTACAATTTACAGCGTCGTTTTTACACGCTATACGAGCTCGAAACTCTTTATAAACGCTTCGTATACGCTTTGTAAACGCTTTATAAACGCTGTATGAACGTTTCGCGAACGGGGGAAGGAGAGGAGGAAGAAATAATTCGCGTAAATAGAAAACTACGGAGATTACCGTAGCGAGAGGAAGCGAGGTCCTAGTAGCGCGCGACGTACACAAGTTCTGGCGCGTAGCCGAGAAAGCGGCGGTGGAACCAAGAAGTTTGAAACCTATCAACGTTTCTCCGGATCTTTGTTTTCCGGGCGACGTTTCCGTATCCCCGGAGACATTAATATGGGTTGTCGTTCGCGATAGAGTTCCCGAGCAACTTGGCCGACAGCTTCGACGTGTCGCGCGCGAAGGGTTTCCAAGCTCGAAATTGCCCAAGCTTCGCGACAATTTAATGCTCCCGCGATCCACCGGACGATTTTCGTTTCCCCGGCCCCTTTCCCCTCGCGATGGCTAATCGACCACGAGTCGATCGCGTCGGCAGTCCCGCGCGGAAACGCGCGTTTAGACGCGTTCGTCGTGGAGCAAGAACGACGTCGTACGGTTTTACGAGTAAACGTAGCGAGGCTAACGGCCCGATGAAAGCTCGATACCATGGCGGAACATCGGAAAACGTCAACGTCTTTTTAACGCCTCCTTTCACCGGAGACCAACAGCCAACACCCCCCGTCCAGGTGCTTTAAATAGGCGTCCCTCTTCTTTTTCCCGGCCGCGTTCCTCGCGCCACACCCGGCCGCCGCGGCTGACACGGGAAAAGAAGAAAGAGGGAAACGACCGTCCGCGAATTTGTCCCGTTCGCCGTTAATCCTCCGATCGAGAAATAAATATCCCGCCGGCGAAAAAACGAGGCTCGATAACTCGCTCTCGCGGACGCGGCGATTCATCGACTCGGTATTTATTAAATTCAGACTCGACGCGATTGATATCGCGACGCCGATAACGTATATCGCGAGACGGCGAGCGATCAACCGGGTTCTCCTTCTCGCTCGGCGCTGGATTTATTCGGGTTCAGCGATCGCGACGTTTCCACCGGCGCGTTAATTAACGGCCGCGTAAATTTCGCAGCGGGGGCGAAAGAAAATGGAACGTTGCGAGAACCGGTGGACGGACGCCGTTCGACTCTTGGCCGGTGAGTTACGAGGCGTCGAAACGATTACGCCGGATTCGGTACGCTTCGAAGGCCGATAAATTTCCGGCAATGATTGATCCGTCATCGCGTTCCGAACCGTTGCCACTTCGCAGCCGGTCTGTCGCCTCGGTCCACGCGAGCCCGAGTCGTCGCGCCGGCCATCGACCGACAATTCTCCATCCACCGATGTTTCCAGGACGATCGCGAGTCGGACGAGGCCAGGACAGGAAAGAAGAGAAAAAGAAAAAGGAAAGAGGAACGAGGCAGCGAGCCGCGAGGACTTTTAACCGGGATTCGTAACTCGGTTAACGCGGTCCGGCGAGCGAGGCGAGCAAAGACGAGAACGACGCCGAGGGTTTATAATTGTGGACCAGCGAGGAACGAAAGCGACAGAGACACAGGGTGAAGCGGTAAGTCGACTCACCTGAATCCAATAAGGCAGGTAAAATCCGGAACAGGCGAGGATCGATGCCACGGTGGACAGAGTCGCCCACAACACGCACAGCACTGTCATCTCATCGGTTTAAAAGCGTCTCTCCGTGCCTCGCCGTCTTCTCTACTCGCGGAGGGCTGCGTCCGCGAGGTCCGTTGGAAACTGGCAGCCGTGGCGATCCGGGAGAGGAATCGCCGAGTTGACGCGCACCGGTGGTGTCCCCGACGTTTGCTCGACGGTCGACGCACTCGCGGGATCCACTCGTGACGACGGATTCCAGGCCCCGAGGGTCCTCCCGGCTGCTCCCTTTTCGCGCGCGAGAATTAGCCACGGCTTCTTCGCGATCTCTCGCGCATAGAATTCACTTTGCACTGTACGCGTCGCCGCTCGGAAGAATGCGACACGACGGCGCGTCGCGACCGCCGGCAGGGACCGGAATAGATCGGTTAATAGGTCGTCCCACGGAAAGGCCTAAACGCGGACTCACGGTCAAGGTTCGCTCGTGTCGCTTTCCACTCTCTCTCTCTCTCTCTCTCTCTCCTCTCGTCTCTCTAAGAGCAACAACAACGACGACGACGATGACGACGACGGCGACGATGGTGATCCATCTCCTTGGCACAACCGTCGTTCCTTCTCTCTCTCTCTCTCTCTCTCTCTCTCTCTTTCTCTCTCTCTCTCTCTTTCTCGGTCCCGATCGGTGCTCGAGGTCGAAGCGGTTAAAGCACTCGTCCGTCCAGAGGCGGCGGCGACGGCGGCGGCATGATCATCGCGAGCCACGAGTTACGAGGGAGCGCAAGAGCGCGCGGCGTCGTTAATTATAGCCGAAGCGAGGCTGCGGCTGCGGCTAAACGCGTGGAATCGCGACGCGCGTTCGTCGGCTCTCGAGAAAAATTCATCGCGCCGCTCCGTTCCGTTTGGTCGAGCGAGCGCGCGCGCGCGCGGGCGGGCCGCCCGTGGGTATCGGAGCGGAACCGGTGCGGAATCGGAGCGAGATCGGAGCGGAAAGAGGGCGGAAGGGCTTTGGAGAGAGAGAGAGGGCGAGGTGGAGGAAAAAGAGAAGGAAGAAAAGATTCTTCCAGTCGCGCTTCGGTCGAAGATTTAATTATAAACACGCCGGTGGACGTCCCGACGGAGCGGCGGTGGCGGGCGACGCGCGGCGAGCGACGAAAGCGACGGAGGAGAGAGGCGGAAAGCTCGGGGCGACCGAGTGGCGATGCTCGGCGCCGCTTCGTGACTGCGACTGAACCCAACAGCGAAGCGTTCGCTCCGCTTTCCACCGCGTCTGTCGCGGTGCGCGCCGCCTCGCCGAGTGCCGCGGCGCGCGCTCCGCTCTCCCACCACCCTTTCCTCCTCTATCGCCCTCTCTTCCTCGCCTCTCTCTCTCTCTCTCTCTCTCTCTCTCTCTGCCACCCCGCTGCCCATCTGGCCGACATGTGTGCGCGTGCTTTGGCCTCTGCGGCTCCTCCGCCGAGCCCTACCGATACCGACGACCTTTGCCTCCTCTTCGTCTTGCCTTCGCCTTCCCTTCCCTTCCCTTCCCTTCCCTTATCTTCTCTTCTCTTCTCTTCTCTTCTCTTCTCTTCTCTTCTCTTTTTTTCTCTTCTCCTCGCCGTTTCTTCGCGTCCGCGCTTTCGAAAAACGGAAAGAGAAAAAAAGAAAAGGGAAAACTTTAATTAAGGTACGCTAGTTCTCCCCCTTTTTGCTACCTGTTGATGGCTTTCCGGCATTATCGTCGCGACAAACTTTCCGTTTGTTATCCGCGTCGTCTTTTCGCGTCCTCTCCGTCCGAAATCCCTAGTTGCTCCTCGATCGAGTTTCCAACGACCATCTTCGTCGGCCACTTCGCTCCGCGCGTTTCCAAACTTCCGTTCTCGCCTCGGAGTCGCGAGTTTCCCCCGTGGTCGAAGGCTGGCGACGAATTCGACGAAACGGCTCGTTAACGGGGTGGTGGCTCTGTAACGCAAACACACCCCCTCCGACGCGTCTGCCGCGCGGAATTCGACGAAAAAGCCGGGAATCGCGTGGACTAATTAGCGCGATCGTTGCGATCGCTAATGACAACGGGCGTCGCTCGGCTATTTCGTCGATCGTCGCGCGACCGGGAAAAATATCGCGACGAGCGCATCCGCGAATGTAAATAAGCAAAGGCAGGAAGGCGAAACAAATGGACCGCCATCTTATTTTCCTACCATCCCCCGGCAATATCCTTGTTCCCACTGCTCCGGGACTACCGTAATATTTATCAACAAGCGGACGCGCATTTTTCTCTCCCGCAGCGCTCGCCCCGAGCCATCTGGATGGCACGTGCGCCGAAAACTCCGCTTCGACGACGAGCACCGACCGCGGACGGCTTTCGCGGGCAGAAATCGATTCCCCGCGCTCGACTTCCAAATTTCCTGCGATCCCGCGACCTACCCCACGCGTCGCGACGCCGCGAGACGCGGCCACGAAGGAGTATACTCGTCGAGCGTATCGGCAGGGCCGAAATTCAATTTTCCTCGTCGCGTCGCGTCTTTGGATCGACGCACCTAAAACGCCCCGACGTTTCTCGAGCGCGTGGCCCAGCTTTGCGATAAAATAAACGAGAGTATACCCCCGCGATGGAGCAGCGTAGAGTAACGAGTTGTCGGATAGGTTCTCCACGCGGGTGGAGAATTCTGGCTGATCGGGACTTTTCGATGCTTCCGCGATTAAAGAGTTACGAGCGGTTAACGGCTGTCGCGGGTAACGAGGAGCGGTTCGCGAGCGGAAATGGGGCTGATTTTGGTCGAGTCGTCGGATCACAGGGCGCGCGCGGGCGTCGGTTCGAATTGGCAAAGCGGAAACACGAGCCCCAGGCCGCGGTGGCGGACCGGAATATGCCTGGAACGAGCGAGCCACGTCGATTCCTGTCGGGGTGTGTCGCGCAACCGTGAGGCGCGAGCAACATTGCGAGTCCAAGTTGCTCGCCCGTGTATTTTTTTTTCCGCCCTTTTCCGCCGCACTTCCGGAACACAGGCGGCTCGAGTTGCACGCCGAACGAACAGCGTCACGGTTTTTTCGCTCGCCGATCGAAGCGTCGAAATTCAACGGGGAAAAAACGATGTCGACGTAATTGGTAGGGAACTGGGTGCTCGCGGGTACCGATGAAAAGCCAAACAAGAAAGCGCGGAATGAAACGCTTTCGCGGAGAAAGCGGACGAAAATGGAGAAGAGGAAAAAATTAACGTAGGGGGTGGACGGAACGAAGGGAAGGGGTGGCGAAAGCTATGGCAAACACGCGGTTAACGATACTCGATCGGGGGGGTAACGCTTTGAAATTCACCCCAAAGTATCGGGCAATTCGCGATCTCTTCTTATTTACTTTTTCGCTTTTCTTTTCGTTTTTCTCTCCCCTTCCCCCCCCCCCCCCCCCCCCGCCCCCCCCTCTGCCGAGAGACGTTCCGATACAGAGAGACGAATTTCGAGAGACTTGGCGAGGGATTATTTACGAGCAACGCGGTCGCTCTCCGGTCCGCGGCGAGCTAAATGTTTCCGAAACAAAAGGGAACGTGAGTTACGATGCAACGAACGACGCATTATTTTCGGAGTCGCGGCACGCCACCGATGTTTCGACAAAGCGACTTGTCCGAAACAATATTTTGACGTTGTAACGCGCCGGCGAACAACGTGACCGATTGAAAAGCTGACAAGCTCTGAATTTTTTCCGGCAAATCCGTATACGTGTTTTTCCCGTTCCTCTCTCGCCCCTTTCGCCCTTCTCCCGACATTTTCCCGCAGCCTCTTTTTTGACGCCGTTCGCTGGAACATCTAGCTCGCTGAAAGGGACACACAGAGTCACCGTTATCGCCGTCCGGTGCACACTTTCCGCGCAACGGTTTCGCCTTTATGTCGTATACTTCTCCATTACCGCGAATTAAATCTCTCGCTCCAGACGAAGCATCCGGCGCGACTGCGGCTCGCCACCGCGGAAATTTTCACTCCGCCATGGCAGAAATAACGCTTTCGCCGCGCGGCCGTCTCGCGAGCTGATAGCGTCGCGATAATTCCTCCGTTTCGTTTCGTCTCGCGTCCCACGAGTTTTATCGAGTACGGAAACCTTCGTCGACCGTATACGCGCGATACCTACGCCGACACGGAGATATCCGTTCCACGATACCACAGCCTCGCGACGCTACCGCGATACCCAGGCCGCCACAGCGCTGCAGCGATAACGCGTTACTCGAATCCGCGTTAGCCGACCGAGTTTTCGCGCGAACGCGAAGATCAAAGCTGGAAGAAAAAGGGAGAGAGAGGGCCGGGAAAAGATTAAAATTGAAGCACGGCGAGTCGGGGGGAGGGGAGCGGGGATCAAAGGCGGGTGGAAAACGGAACCGGGGGGAACTCGAGAAACGAGGAAAGCCTCCGGAGGAGAGGAAAAGAGCGAGAGATAGGATGGGAAAAGTTGAAAGTCCACGCGAGAGGGTCAGGAAGCGGACGTGGGCGAAGGAAAATGGGCCCTGGGACGGTCCATCGCGAGTACACCGGATGAGGTAGGGGGCGAGAGAGAGGGGACAGAGGTGGCGAACAAGTGGCGCGATGTTACGTTCCATTCCTTAGCACCGAATAAAACTTCTCGTTCCGCCGACGGGTTTACGAATGCGGGAACCGTGAGCGTTCTTTCTCCGTGCGACCTTTCCTCCCTTTTCCGCGCTCGTGTCGCGTGGCCGAGCCGCACACGCGCCGGGGTTACTGGCCTACGCCGGCCAAACTCTCTTCCCCCATCCAAATCCCATCGAGTTTTATCGTTTCCGGGTACCGGTGTCGGCCAGCCGTCCGAATTTCCTCGTCGTTCGTCAGCGCGTTTCCGCGTCGACACGCTTTCGCGTCGATCCCAAATTTTATTCCCCGCCACCCTTCGCCCCTGGCGCGGAGGGCGGAGAGCTACCTGGACGACGCTCGCGATTCTCGTTACGCTGGATCCCGACGTCTCGCTGACCTGTCCTCGAAAACGGTCGAGGCGTCGCCGAACACGCGAGATTTCCTTTCTTCCCTTTCTTTTCCCCGACCGAAATAGACTCTCGCAAACACGGCTGCTTTATCCCGTGCCAAGGTGCCGCGACGAATCGCCGTCTTCCGAAACGGATTACCGCCGGCGAATTTGCTTTTACTCGCGATCGCTTCGTCCGATTTTCGCGTTTATCGCGCGCGATTCCGCCTAGTAGGCTCGAAGAATCACCGCCATTTTTCTCGATTAATTACCTCGATTGCTGTGCAAGGTGTCGCGCACCCCGGTGATCTTTGTCGTTGGCCGGTGATCCGGAAGACAGGTCGGACTACTAGTCTATGGAGACGAAGATCACGGGGCGCGGAGGTCGAGGGTTGCGACTCGGCGGGGAAATTGGCCTCGTCTCGGAGGCCAAGCAGGGAGGATCGCGTAGCCACGGTTGGCCATCCATTATTCATAATTCGAGGATTCCGGAAAAGCGACGTCAACAAGTAGCGGCCGTTTCTGTTCCGGTTAAATGAGCCAGGTCGAGCCGCGATCGGCAACATCTGCTCGGCTGCCTGTAAACGTCC